CGCTCGACCTGCTCGAGAAATTGGGAGACTTCGTCGGACATGGCTCTGGGGCCTTTGGGACATGACACGGAAGGGGGTGGATGTTTTAGAAGAAAGACGGCGCGGCGTGGGCCCTTGGCTTTTTTGGATAGCACAGTAAGCGCGGGCAGGAAAATACACAATGCAATCCTACGCACAAGGTTGCAGCAGGTGTTATAGACTGTTTCTGCTATCTCCCAAGAGCCTAACGTAGCCTTGAGATGTGGTGCTGATGGGAAGTTGATAATGGGTCACTCGACTGGGATGGGATCATGTCTGTTAGCTGCAGTGGAAATTTCACTTGGCGCTTCTGCGACCTTATTGGTTCATGACCGTCCCCAGGTGTGTCTGTCTCTAAAACCCGCTATGAGAGGGGGCCGCTGTAGCGCCCATGCAACCCGAAGTCTCAGGGGCAATCGCTCCCGCTCGCTAGGGAGGGACTGCTTGACAGATTCCGGCGCAAATGCGGCCATCAACGGACGGGATTGTCTTTAATCTTGGTGCATATCAGAGCTCGATCTCATGCAAATTATGCATGAACCTCGTCTCATCACTTGCATGATGCAGAATCGGAACGATGAAGATTCAATTGATATCATAGGCAACCTAGCTCAGCCTCACTCAACTCACATGTTTGTGTTCCATGCGCTATAAACAAAAGACCAATACAAAACGTCATCCTTTGTTTACTTTCAACTTTTCCCCACGGGCGATCCACTACAATAACAAACCCAAACCATGGCTTGAATCCGTTAAACCTTGTCACATCTTGGTTCGTGTACGAAGTGAGCAGTACGTATCTTGCTCTTCTTATGCCTCAGACCACGCAAGCAGGTTATCTCAGATTTCTCGATCGACAATACGACCTTGTAAGGTTAGCACAAGCTGCACGCGGCACTTGTTGATGCTCTCCCGCTCCCCTGCGCTTCGCTAGATGAGGCCTGTACAGATTGCGTGCTGTAGAGTTTTGCGGGACGTTTTACGTTGCCCGGCGTAACGAGTTTATTATATCGGGTTTCAACGTTTTAGCTAGCTGACTTTCTTATGCATATCCGCGCTATACGGCTGGTTGCTTCCAAGTCTCGCGGCTATCCACACCTTGTGGTTTGTTTGTTGCTTTTGCAAAAGGACATCCTGTTGTGAGGCCAACAGGAACTATTTGGTTGAGCCAGTCTCGTTTAGTAGAGGAACAGTCGCTTCTTTGCATCCTCCACCACCCACGATAGTCCTTCTTCAAGGTTGGTTCCAGTCATGGCACTGCATGGCAGGATGTGCCATCGATGTGTCCGTATCGATTCCAGTTGTAATTCCTAAGTATCATGGTGAGCTTGATCATATTAACATGGCATGGCGTGACGTGAACATACTGAGAGAATCTCTTCTTCCGTCATACATCCCTCAACATCTGTTTTGTTGGCAAAAACAAGCAGACTTGCCCCTGCAAGACGCTGTACCACTTGTCAGTGACTATGCGACCGTTGCCGTGTCATAGCACGCACCTCTTCTAAGAGTAAACCTTGAAGCTCGTCTCTGCAGTCTTGAATGCGTAAACGGTCTGTTGCGTCAACAACCCAGATCAAAGCATCTGTCTTTTCAAAATAGTTTCTCCAGTATGAGCGCAACGTTTTCTGCCCACCCACGTCCCCTGAGGGTGTCAGCTCATCTCATAGAGTCGGCATATTGAGGTCACACACAGATGTTTAATTTGTACCTGTAAGGCCTGTCAGCGGTGTTATATGACGAATGAAGTCCTTCTTACCCCTCGTAGTCAATTGTCTTGATGATGAAACCTAATGTTGGGCTTACGGTGTTGACATCCTCTCCCATAACCTTCTTGACGATTGTGGTCTTTCCAGCATTATCCAGTCCGCTATGAAGAGTTAGTCAAAATCCTTAATGGAGCAGGTCGTGGTCAAATACTCACAGCATCAGGATTCGCATTTCTTTGTCCTTGAGCCGGGCTTTTCGCAGGATTGACAACATTTTGATTCACGAGTCGTGTATTGAATTAACTCGATAGTAGGACAAGCAAAGCACTCCAACTTAGTTCTTAGGCAGTTATGTCGGTTATTTGGCCTTTAAAGGATTTCTTACTTCATCACCGAACTATGAAGGTCGTTGAATTCAGTTGCCTGCGGCTCTCATGGCTCCACGTGATTGGTGCTCGCTTGATCAGTTTCACCCCCTCCAACTTCACCACTCTCGTATGCTATGCCTCAACCGCCACTATTTAAGGGATAATCTACATAATCTGACGCCCATGAACATTGTAAATACTATCGACGTCCTGTATTTACATACGCTGCTTTACATGTCAATACACTCGAACTTGGCCCAAACATTCCCTGCCACGCAATTACCATCACGATAGACACCCAAAACTCAATAGCCATGGCTCTAGTACATCAATGTTTCTCTTACTCCACAATTTCTGAAGCTGGGCGTGCCTCATGTTCCCATACAACTAGGTCTTTCCAGACGCCTGGATGGTTTCCATGCTTAACAGCTTCCTTGAAATTCGCAACCTTCGCAAAATCGTACTTCTCGAGCAGACGTGTCGTCCACTCAATGCGAGAATCGCCCTCGCCATCAAAGAATGTTTCCAAGTACAGCTTGCTGTACTTTCGTTCATTGTGTGCAGGAATTTCTTCGTACGTCTTTCGGGGCTCCGAGCAATCCCAGGTGTAGTCCACAAGACTACGATGGTATATAGACGTGGACAACAAAATTCTGTCCAGCAGTGCCGACCCGACGAGCATTCGGCGATGCTCTGGGTCAACGATGAGCTTGATCTGCCCAGAAAATCTGGCTCCCTGGCATGCATGGCCTAGAAAATCCTGTCGAGAATCATCGACAAAGGCAAAGCCAAGGATGGTTGGGATCTCTGACGCTCCGTGGGATTTCATATATCCAAGGAGCTTCTGATAACGCTTTTCGTCGGCCTTAGACCATCCAGAACGGTTGGCTATCTCGCAATGAGATTCAATCGCCACAATGAAAGGGCGACGGTTCGACGTGCAAGCGTTGTACAGTTCTGCAATATGTGCACAGTTAACTTTGGGTAGGTAGACCTGCGAACCTTCTCGCTGCATCTCATTATTGATGATGTTTGCGATGCCCTGGAAGTCCTCAGGCTGGACGGGCCGAAGAGTGCAATCTGCATCAGGCCACTTGTCTTCCTCGTGCGTCATGTTCGCATACTTCTGTTCCTCTTTTTTACGCTCAATCTCCTCCTTCTTAGTTTTGCGCAAATCCAGCTCGCGGGCGATATAGCCTTCAGAATTGGTCACCGCGCGGCGCCAGTTGTGCCTGGCCTGGGTGTCTTTCTGAATCTTGATGTATCGCGGTGGAGGGATTAGCTTGCCAGTTGCAGGATTGATATCACAATCATCCACCCGAGGGTGACGGCTTTCGGTAAGGTTAAAGATGGGATAGCTTTCTTGCTGTGTCTCCCACTTCTCCACGGCTGTCAATGAATTCGGATTGACCTGGACCAGGGCCATATCGTCATCGTTGTCATGATCATATGGTCGAGGAGTATTCCATGCGGCCATTTCATCTGAAGACAGTGGAACAGCACTCAGCGCCATGGATGCGGTGCTGAAGGATCGCTGTCGGAGAACGAGGGCGGTTGAAGTGGCAGCAGCTTGGATGATATGCAAGGGTGCTGGCAAGGGAGCACCTGCAAATTCCGACGAGTTGTTACCGATCGACTGCTCCTTAGGTGAGCTCCAAGTGCCCACGGAGCTATGTTCAAAGTCATCTGTCCCTTCCGAATCAACGATCTCAGGTGTTTGGTGAGAGGGAGCGCGAACAACTTCCTGCACAGGCGTTTGATACTGAGCAGGAGGAGAATGCACGACATCTTTGGAAGGCCTTCGATGCGGAGGAATACGAACCGCCTCGGTCGCACTGCCTTGGAGAGGAAGAGGAGAGCGAAGTCCCTTCTGCCTATTCCAATAGCCCTGTTGGATAGGAGTGCAATCTACATTACTCGATGTCCCTTGCGACCCGAGGAATCGCTGCTTAACGGCGCCCGCAGGCAGGAGCTGCTGATTTGGGGTTTGAATCCCAACGAGTTTTCCCATGCCTTGGATGCGCTGCAGCGAGTTATTGACGTTTGGCGAAGGCGTGCTGCCTCCACCATCCCGGCTGCTGGGGGCCCACGACATGGCTTACAGCGTCGACTTTTCTTTGTTTAGTTCTTGCGGATGAAGGGGGGGATGTAGCAAATGAGAACGAACCTGTATAAAGGCGGCACAAGCGGGTGTACTACTATAAACACGGCGATATGTAGAAACGGCGGTGCAAACAGCGGTGCGAAGGATGGTGACGGGACAACAGAGCTCGAAAAGCGATATGAAAGAAACAATATGAAGGTAGAGTAGAGTGAAAGAATGCCCACGCTCTTCTCGGCCAGGCGAGTAAATATTGGGGTTTAGTTGTGGCGAAGAAGAGGAGAAACTCGAGCTTTTGTTTGTTACGATTGAGAGGGGAGATGAAGGCGACTGTCCTAAGGTTAGGTAAGGTAAGGTACTGTGTGAAGAAGAGAAGCACGCGGTCAGGTCCTGCCTAGCAACGAGACTTGGGAAAAGAACGAGAGGCCACTGCCACTTGTCAACAGTGGCAGATTTCTAGTACTGAAAATAGGGTACAAGGCGAGTCCGAATACGGTGATATATCAAGGGCTACTTCAGGCCAGGGACGGGATATTAGAGCAAACCATAGCTAAGTGCATATCACCATCGGGATCAACAGCATCTTCTGTGGTCCAAGTCGAATTGGTTCCGTTACTGCAGGGGTTCGGGTGTGACAAGTCAACAATCAAGATGTGAATAATGTATCAACGAGCGAATCTAATAAACAAAGGAATTATATTTGCAGAGCTCTGCCATGTGTATCCTATATGTTTGTTTCCCAGGGTATATCCAAACTAACAACAACACATCAACCCCAGACTCCATGGAAAGCATCAACTCCATCTACTCCTCATCACTATCTTCCCTCAGTCGTCGTCTATCCTCCCGCAACTGATCCCACAGACTCTTCTTGGGCTGGCTCTGAGTCGACATACGTGATGACCGAAGGCCCGTCTGACCGCCTAATGAACCCACGTTCTCTTGTGAGTGTCTAAACCCAGGATGCGAAGAGTAAACGCTCGACGCTGCAATTGATGGAGCGACCGAAGTTCGTTGCTTTCCACCCCGTGGTGGCCGAGGAGTTGATGGCTCCCCATCTTCAGACGAGAGACCCGTCTTGAATCCGTATTTCCGACAGAAATCTATATGTGCTTGGTATTCGGCGTATGTAGTAGACTCTCGACCGCTTCCATTGGTCGGCTCCACAGTGTCTTGACGAGGAGGTGAACCGCCTGCAGCACTTGCTTGGAGCGAAAATACCGAGACAGGCACCCACTCAGTTTCCGCAGGGCTATTACCGGCAGTGGTATCAGGGGGGCTTGGTCCTCTGCTGAAGCTAAGAGGAGGTGGCACGGCACTTGGGTTACTGTAGACAGATGATGTTTCCATCTGTTCATCTGGCACGATGCTTGCTCTCTTGTTCTGCTCAGGCGCAAAGTCCCTCTGCAATCGATCACCGAGAGACATGTTCCTGACACTCTCTGCATAGTCGCTGAAGGCGGGATGCACATCGTCCTCAAAGAGTTGTCTTCGTTCGTTGGCCGTAAGTCCTCGCTGTTGCATCTGACAATCCATCCATAGCGACGCTTGGTAGTCCACGTCTTCATCCATCCAATTTTGCTCGTCCCCTTGGAACTGAGCACTCGACTGACTAGATCTTGATTCTGGACGAAGAAATGTGCGTCTGTCCTCCTGGCTGTGGATGCTGTAGCTTGGTCGAGACGACTGTTCATGAGATGATTGCCGAGTACGAGCACGGCCGCGCCTACCGTCTTCTTCATACGCTCTCGATGGATGGTTATTACCTGATCGATATGAAGATCGAGATATTTGAGATCCCGGGCGTTCCTCTCTCAGGCAGTTGATGGTGTTGATCAGATTGCTCAGTTCTTTGCTGATCTCAGCACTTCCAGTGTAAATGGCCCTACGACTATCAGCATGCTGGTGTGATATCCAAGACTCAATAAGTCGGAGAAGTCTTGGATCTCTACCACCTCGGTCGATGTGGCGATCCCGTCGCGTAGTCAATGTCGCTCGCAGATCACTCAGCACCTGAGGTCTACCACCAATGACCGACATGATGCAAGCTTCGCACTTGCTTTTGACTACGAGGTTTGTGGGCGAAACACGTTCGTAGCCAAAGGTGGCATTGAAAGCTTTACGACCGATCCAAAGTCCAGTCACGGCATCGATGCGATCCAGCCATGCGATAACAGCACTGGGATAAGCGATACGCTGTCGCCAAGTGCGCAGAGTTTGGATACGTTCAGTGCATTCGACGATGATCAAGAGCATAAGTCGCCGGATCAACTTAGGGTCAAGACCATGATGGGCTGGGCACAGACATGCTGTTGGCGAACCGTCAGCACCAAGTGTGTAAGACAGACTTTCAAGTTTGGCAGAGAGACGGGCCAAGAGTTTGGTGGAACGGCGGTTTGATTTGTCGAGTTTAGCTACACGAGCTTGCTGGTCTAGCAACCAGTCTTTATCCGGCACAGCTATGTTGACTCCTGGATCCATCCACAACAGGTCCGTGAGTTGGTCAAGCTGATGGGTTGATATATCAGGTAGTGGGATATACCCGATCTCCTCATCGGGGTCGTGGTATGTACGATGAGGTGCCATTTTGAGCGCTATGAGATTTGTTCTTGGTAGAAGACAAGAACTTCAACACAAGGCTGCTGCATTAATTTGTTTGATAGATTTGTTCAAATAGAAGCAAAATCTCCATAAACCTGCTCCGTGAAAACCGTAGATCTTGGTTGTTTGCTTCCTTCACTGGCACCATATGCCTTATATAAAAGATCTTGCATGGTGAACACAGACAGTGACTCGAGGGCAACGTCAATGTGTTCCATGGTCGCGACGCACGTCCTCGGTGTGAACAATGCGGTAACCAATTCTTCAACAAAATAGAATATCAGTGGAATGGATCTGCTGTTCTCTGTGTGAATGGCTTTGTGCGAACAAGTTACCGATATGGACTATCTCCTCCGAACAAAGTATTAGATGAGGCTGAAATCTTTGCTATGTTGTTCTGCACACCTACCTATGGCATCCCAAGATCAATCGTGGAGAAGAGCCAAGGTGTGAAGGCAACCCAGAGAAGCCACAGGCTACCAGCAAACATAGTGCTATGGATGAATAGGTGAATCCGCTAGTCGTTCGATCGTGTTGAAACAAGGTTCTCGTGGAACATTTGTCCGATTTTTATTTCTTCTGACAAAGGGAACGAGATGAACAGTTAAGTTGTTCACATACTGCTGGAGCCATATTGGGCTCATCAACGCTGTCCATCGAAAATGCACCAGTCCCTCCAGTCGTAGCGTTGCGTAACAAACCAACTGCCAGAGATAACTCCTAGTAAACAGAACGGGCGACGAAATACGATGGCTGTGGCACTAGAATACAAGAGCAAAATTGAATCGGCATCAAACATTCCTCTCCTTGCGTCGATACCTATCCTTCAATGCAACGCCTTGGAAAACCAGAACTCCGTAATCATGCTCATATGTCGTTAGTGGGGTATCAGACTTTGGTCATCAACTTCGGACATATCCATGTCTCTGAGCCTGTTGTTCCATGCGTATCCGCTCCATGCGGATCTTAGCCGCCTCGGTGCCGTCGTCAGGTTGGGCCATCTCCTTAAGCCAAGGGTGCTGCAAGGCTTGCTTTGCAGTAATACGATGGGCAGGGTCGTAGACGAATATCTTCTTTAGCAGATCGACAAAGTTCTTGAGGAAAGTGTTGTTTCCGGGAATAATTTGCTGCCACCTGTTAGCACGAGCAATGTCAAGCCATGCAAAAGGGTGCTTACATCGAGGTGCTTCATCGCCTTCACAAAGCGACGGGAGCCGCGAGTTGTATCTGGCGTAGGATAGTCAAGTTTGAGTCTCTTGAAATATCTGAAAAGTGTCAGCATGTAAACCAGGGAACATTTCACGAGGAGACTGACTTCGAGGCGGCATTACCACCACTTCTTGAAGACATCTTGTTGACAGCCTGGACAAGATGGCTATCGATTCTTGATCCGACGACAGCCTCCATCATGGCCAGGTGTTCCAAGTTATCATGAGTCTGGAAGAGAGCATCACCCGTGAAGAACTCGACAAGGATGCATCCTATGCTCCAGATGTCACAAGGGAACGACCATCCAAGTCCAAGGATGATTTCTGGGGCACGGTAATGGCGTGTTGAAACCACGGAGGAGTGATACTCGTCTTGGAATGTGGCAGAGCCAAAGTCAATGAGCCGAATCTCTGTATCCAGTAGAACACGCCGCTGTGTAGCTTGACGGCTGATAGTCGAAGAGGAAGAAGGGATCTTGCGGTTATATGTAAAGGTCTGATAGGCATGATTACAGAGCAAGATGTTCTCGGGCTTGAGGTCGGTATGGATCAAGTTGAGGTCGTGCAGAACTAAGTCAAATTAATACACTGCCAAGCAAGACTGTTCGTTCGTCCAACTTACAAGCAACACTGGTGAAGAGTTGTCGGGCAAAACTCTGAATCTGACTGTTGGGAAAAGGAACGAATCCATTGCCCTTGAGGAAATCGAAAACACTCTGATCAAGCAAATCCATGACGATACAAATGTGGCCGCGATAGTCGAAACAGTCTCGTAGATGGATGCATCGGTTACGGTTCTCTGCATCGTTTCGTTTGAGGGTTTCGAGAACGCGAAGTTCTATCCGTGAGGCATCTCTGTATTTCTGAACTGATCGAATGATCTTGACCGCCACGGCCTTGTTACGTTTTCGATCGTGGGCTTCAACGACCTTGCCGAAGGTTCCCTGACCCAGTAGGCGGACAATCTGGTCTGTGGACTTTATTAGATAAGTCTAAAGAGAGAGCATGATGGACTTACACTTTTCTGTGAGTTCAGCATCAGGAACGACAATGTAATGGCCATCGTCATCATCAACCTTGACGTTTTTGTTGTAATGTCGCTACGGATTCGTTAATAATCTCATCTCAACCTGTTCAGTAATGTGGAGTCAAAACTCACGTCGTGGATAACTTGTACGTTAACCTCAGACGCCTTCTTGGGAGGGAAAGGTGGAGGCTTGTATGTGAAGAAGTCCCCGAGGCCATCTACATCGCGACGTTTGGCTTCGTTAGCCACCTGTTGACGGGTGCGCTTTCGCTTAAGGGGGGCCAGTCCCTCCTCGTACTGGCCGTTGGATGAAAGTGATGTCGGGGCGGTGGTGTTAAGTGCCGAATTGGTGCGGTCACTGCTAGAATTGGACGAGCCCGCTGGTGTTGACACCTGCAAAGGGGTGCTGTGTTGTGATTCGAGGTATTTGATGTGATAACCCGAAGCCTGGACAGTGCCAGACTCGTCTTCTCGTCTCCTCTTCTTAGCCACCTGACTGCTCGTGTTGTCGCTGGGCGCAGCAGCAGTGCCATTCGTAATTTTCCGGCTAGTGTTTGCTTCAGGCTCGGGTGTGTCGTCAATGACGATGATTTCCTTTGGCAGGCCATTCTTGTAGAAGGTGCCCCAGTCGGGCTCTCTGGAGCGTCTACGCTTTCTCGAGGGTTGCTCAGCGCGAGTAGCAGGGGCACGCTCCGTCATGCTTCCTGCAGAGTATGCCGCGTCGTGTCGCGGGCTGGGTTCCTGAGCGTGGTGTGCAGAGCGAGAATTGGAGTTGGTCAAACTTATTCCATTCGAACCCGATGAAGAGTATCCCAAAGGCGAGAGCTGGTACGGCGGCGGCAGAATGGCACTGTGGGAAGGCGACACGGCCGAAGAGACCGGAGGTGGTAGGATATTCTGATTCGATACAGTAGAGCGAAAATTGGCGCTGGGGTTCGGCTGATAGGTCTGATGATGCGTGTGCGAATGGGCATAGGAGGGCTGGTAATGGTGAGGATTGTAGTGTGGAAGCGTAGCCGTCGCTGTAGTTGGTGTTGACATGATGGGGAAAGCCAAAGCCACCCAAGGGCTTTAGAGGCGGCAGTAGCGATCACGAAAAACAAAAACGAGAGATGTGCAGTTTCGCTGTATCGGACGGTACAGGCGACCGATCAAATCGTCGCGTCGATTCGTATGTGTAGGCCTTCTTGAAGTTCATGTATGTACGATGGAGGAATCGTGAGTGAAGAGGAGAAGGACACAACCGATGAGCGAAGAGAGGCGAGATGGAACGGGACTGGGGAAGGACCCGGGGGGCGCACCTCCTAGTTTGGTGAATGGTTTTGGTGGTGAGGGTGGTGGATAGGTGTGCCCAGACGGGACAGAGAGAGCAAGAGCGAAGGAGGGAAAAAAGCGCTCGCCCAGTGAAGGCCAGCGACCTAGGTACAGTGGCCTCAGCGTGTGAGTTAGGGGTTAAGGTTACGAAGGGGCACTGTAGCAGGAGCCCAGTCCACTTATGTTCAGCTTATCGCAGGTCACGTCTCGTTGGGTTAGAATATTCTTGCTTTTCTCTCAAGAACTGAGACTAATGTGTGGGGATGAATGGGCGAGGCGAGGGTCATAGCCAAAAGGAAAGCAGTGGAGTGACTTGAAGAGTCCATCCAAGCCCGGTTGAAGGCGTCACGGGCATCCCATTTGTCTTGGAAAAAGCGTTGGCCAAAGTTACGGGTGGCCGGGGCAGATTTGAGGGGATCCATTCTGGGTGACGTTGGTCAGATAGAGATTTGCTTGTGAGTACATTTCCTACAGGCGGTGACGTCTAGTGGTAGCATGTATTTTTGGCGTCATCCTCAACACCTCAGTCCCCATCAAGGAGTGGGTGGATTTGTCACTCATGGATGCTGTGTTGTGCTCTGTCTCCTCTCCTCCTCTCCTCTCGGGTTACGATCTTGGGGTCAAGAAGAAGAGGCGGAATTCCAGTGGAACTGGGCAGGAAATACAGAGGTACTTTTATCATACTGTGGCGGCGTCCCGATTCGGCTCTCCAGGCCCAGGGCCCCTCAGTCGGAAAACCAGGGTCCATCACTTACAGGGCTTGAGTGGAAAGGGTTGTTTTGGGGAAGATGCCCGGCCAAGTGAGGCAAAGTGCTAAACGCCTGTGCCTGTCAGTGAGTGACAATAAAGCTCGGATACTTGATTCATCACTTCCATTTGGCTCAAATTCTCGAGGTAACCGAAAGGCCACAAATTAGGGCCTTGGGTAATAAGAGAAAGACTTAGGTAAAGTGTGAAAAACTTAGAATGATATTTTAATCCTTTATTACAGCATTCTCTGCCAAGGCCCGAGGCTTGCTCCCGAGGTTGAGGCTGCGGAATTATAACTTCAGCCGGAAGAATAACGAGTAATATCCAATCTTGACTTCGAAAGGGTATCCCGTCATTGAAAACAAATACAAATACAGAGTACTCTCTGCCTATATCACCTGAGATGAAATTCGTTGCAATGTCGCTAGATTATCCTCGGCTGTCTTGCTTATTAGGCAATCTGAAAGAAATCTTTCCAAACAGATGTGAGAAAGGGCAGGGACCATCGTGCGAACAGAAACATTGGATGCCACGAAAATCAGTCCAGATGACGATATGAGGCGTTCAGATCTCGGTACTTCAATAAACATTACATACAAACCAGTTGATCCCTTGATCGCTTCAGTCGTTCAGGTAGATCCTCATCATTGCTTGATGTGCCTTATCATTGGCTTTTCGTGTCATGA